GCCGGGTCCCCGTGGGGGTGCCCGCCTGGGGTCGGGCAAGATGGTCTTCTCGCTGGCCACGGCGCTCAACTCAGAGTTCAGGGAGACGCGCACCAACGAGAAGGTGGAGATGATGGAGCTCAACGACCGCTTCGCCAGCTACATTGAGAAGGTCCGGCTCCTGGAGCAGCAGAACAAGGTGCTGGTGGTGGAGCTGAACCAGGCGCGGGACCAGGAGCCCTCGCGTCTGGCCGACGTCTACCAAGAGGAGCTACGTGACCTGAGGCGCCACGTGGAGCAGTTGGCCACTGCCAAGGCCCGTCTGGAGATCGAGAGGGACAACCTTGCCGAGGACCTCGGCAGCCTCCAGCAGAAGTAAGGTGCTGCCCTGCTTGGGGTAGTCCTGGGGACCAGGGTGGCCACCAGAACCAGGATGACGATGGGCACCAGGGTGGTCATGAAGACCAAGGTGGCTACCATGACCAGGATGATGGTGGGGACCAGGGTGGCCACCAGGACGAGAATAAGGGTGGCCACTGGGATGGGTATCAAGGTGCCTACCAGGATCAGCGTGGCCACTGGAATGGGGACCGGGGTGGCCACCGGGACCAGAGTGGCAGCAGGGACCAGGATGGCCACTGGGATGGTGCCCAGGGTTTTCCTGGGAACCAGGGTGGTGATGGAGATCATGGTGGTGGCAAGGACCAGGGTGACCCCTGGGACCAAGATGGGGACCGGGATGTCCCCAGGGATCAGGGTGGCCACTAAGAGACCAGGGTGACCACCAGGACCAAGGTAGCCCTGGGGACCAGGCACTGACGGGGACCAGGGTGGTGACGGGGACATGGTGGCAACAGGGACCAGAGTGACCCCTGGGAACAGTGTGGGACGGTGGCAGGGGGGTGCGGGACGGGCACACGCACCGACACGGGCTGTGGGTCCTGGTGGCGTGGGGCTGTGGTGACCCGGGGGGAGCCTGCCCATGGGGCTGAGAGTAACGAGTAACGGCGCCTAACGAGTAATGGTGCCTAACGAGTAACGGTGCCGACCGGGTAATGACGCCCAACGGGTAACGGTGTCCCTCTGCTCCGGCGCAGGCTGCAGGACGAGGTGACCCTGCGGCTGGAGGCAGAGAACAACCTGGCTGCCTACAGGCAGGTGAGGGCAGGGGCCGGATCCTGCGGCTGTGGGGGAAGCTGGGCTGGGCTCAGCCCCCAGCTCAGCCTCCCTCAGGGATGGGCAGGGATGGGCAGGAGCAGGCAGCAAGGGCCTGGGATGTGTTATGATGGGCAGCATGGGGCAGGGCTGGGCAGACCCAGGCGGCCAGCCCTGGGGACAGACCCTCCTGTCCCCTCCGTGGTGGCAGGACGTGGACGCTGCCTCCTTGGCTCGTCTGGACTTGGAGCGGCGGGTGGGGACCCTGCAGGACGAGATCGCCTTCCTCCGCAAGGTCCACGAGGAGGTAACCCTGCTTGGGGGGGGTCCCGGGGCTCGGTGGCTCACTGGGAAGAGGTGC